AATTAAGAAATAAGAAATAAATGAGGTGCATAAAAATAGGGGAAAAGGTAAACTAAGAGGGTTCTTGCTTTTCCATAAAACAAGGCTCCACTTCTTTTGTTAGGCAAGGTATGAAGTAGGACTCGATTCAAACCTTCTATTCCAATCAATGGGCGATGGTGATCCTACGACGGGCAGTGCTCAGGTGTCATATCAGGTTTTGGGATTGGATGTAGCGGTTCAATATTTTGGGTGGGTAGGGGGAGACAGATCTGATGGCTGCTGAGGTTAGAGGTATGGTCTCCAATTAATGATAGCGGCGGCAAGAGGTCAAGAGGCAGAGGTGACGGAGGTGGCGGATAATGGAAAACGCAAGGTCAAGAGGCAGAGGTGGCGGAGGCGTCAGATCGGACGGTTTGGCACTCGACAAGCCTTGTCAAAGAGGTTAAGCAATAGGATTTGAATGGTGGCAGTAGTCACCTACCTCGCATAGAGATCCTAGCAATAGAGATGGTGTGCTGCACGATGACGACGACAGTGGTGGCGGTGGCGGCGGCAAGGAAGACACTGAAGACCACAGGAAGTGGGTTCGGTATGTGAGAGCAATGGTTGATGGCGGAAATGGCAAGGGGATGGGTGAACTGGTGAGGGAGGTGAAGATAAGAAAATCAGTGGGTGGATGGGTGGGTGGTGGGGGGATGAATGTGGATCGGAATGTGGCTTGTAGGTGCGCTCGTTGCGTGCGGAAAGGTAGGGTTTGGAGTGCAGGGAGGGCTATTGGCATATCGGTGTGCGTGACACCGCCCACCGCCTACCGCCCACCTTTTGCAGGGCCCACCAAAGGATCAAGCTTTATTAGGCTTACCAAGTCATTCCATGTTGGTTGATAATTATCCCAACCTATGAACTCTCTCAAAAGTTTGATTCCACTCTATGGGACCATCACAATAGTAGAAAATAGACTAGTGAATGTTGGTTCTTCTACAATTTTCTACTAAATATAGCACAACAGGAAACTAAATACCATCTTTACACACAATTATCACATTTACATTTAAGGCCTTCATCAATAAGATTGTAGGGAATGGGTGGTATCCACGTAACCCAAGAGACAGAGAGAGGGAGGGAGAGGAAGAATTGGGTCACTTAAAACTATCCTAGGTTCTGCTTAAACTGCTCGCTAGATAATTGTTGACACCAACGGTGGCAGATAAATAAAACCGCAAGTGCGCAACTGTTAATGTAGCTTTCACCCAGGACCAAGAGTATTCTAGAGTATCAATTTCCACAGGAAACATGAAATGAACTACTAAGAATCAGGTTCGTCCTACGATGCCACAAGGGTATATGACAGATTGGATAAAGAGGATTTCTATGTTTATGAAACTAGAAAGGTAATAAAGTAGATACAAATGTGGTTCACTTCGGGTCACTAGATGCCACTTAGCAACGAAAAGGGATGAGAAGGGTGCTAAACCGCCAAGCAAGGGTGGACCTACGCTTTAAGAACTTACTAGACATGGTGGAATATAGAGATCAGATAGGGTTGTCACCACTTGCTAACTACCAAGCCAAATCATGGGGCAAGCCGTACACACAAGTAAGCGTATAGCATAGACACCACATCTACACTATATCTTACTAATTTAATCCAGATCTCAATGCAAGCAATTGGAGCACTCAGGTGTGAGCGGTGAACCCATGGACAACTATGTAAACAGTTACCTAACCCAAGGATCAATTACTATAAAAAATATTGGATGTTTACTTACAACAAGCCCGCATCCGCCAAGGTACAGTTTGGGGAAGATACCGATAGGACGGCTCTCCCCCGCACTCTCCTCACTCTCTCCCTATTTTCTAAGCTCTAAGTGGAGTACGGCTTCGTCTGTATATGATTGGAATGAGTTGTTTCTCCTTGGTGTGTTGAGAGTGAGGGAGTCCATATCTCTAAACTAACTCTCCAAAAATTAAACCACGCCACCGCCAACTACCTATGTGGACATGCTGATTAAAGTTGCAAAAAAACTCCCTCTCGACTCTCTCCCCTTACGGACCCTCTCTCTTGTAGTCTACATCTCTTTGTCTATTCCATTGGTCGCTGAGTGTGTGCCTCCATAGCACAGGTGTAGCCGCAAGGCCGGCGGTGCAAGCAAGCACGCGGCGGCAGCCGCGAGACGAGCATGGGACCAACATGAGACAGAGTAGGGAGTGTACGTGGAGGAGAGGGGAAGGGAGGGATTTTTTCTGCAAGTTTTACCTTGCCTCATCCACGCTGGTACAACCACGTAGGCATATAGAGATGATGCGGTGGGATTTGAACATCTACTCGGACGCGACATTAGTTGAAGGACCTAAATATTCACTTTTTTAGGTAGAGGATCCAGGTGATAATCCACAGAATAGAAGCATAACTCAAATCCATTGAAACAACTAATCGAACAGGATCTATGCCGCTCATGACCGAGAGCATGACTAGTAGTTTTGAATAACTCTGCAGAGCTTATGCAACTTCACTCATGAGTTGTGATACCCATCTGCCTAAGGTAGCTAACCTCTAAAACACTTCCAAAGTGAGTCGGCAAGGATCACTATGAAGCCTTTCCAAAAATACCCTATCAAGTTAGTAGAAACCACTTCTTACAAATAATCAATATGATTGTTTACTTTCCGCAAGTCATGTACTGTTTACAATTACTCATACAAATCTTCCAAACAAATGTTGTTACTAGTTTTTTTTTTCTAAAGATGCTATGTTTTTTGTTATTTGTAGTAACATATGAACATTTAGCTATTAGTTACTCATATAAGGGATCAAAACTTATCCTAATTTGACCAAATTTATTTTATCTATACTCCCTCCATACTAAAAAATAAAGTCGTTTTGGACAGCGATACGGTCTCTAAACCATAATTTTGACTACTTATTTTTATAAAGATATTTATCAAAAAGTGATATATGTAAATTTTTGTGAAAGTATTTTTCAAGACAAATCTATACATATGGTTTTCACATTTCCAAACTCAATAACTTAAAAGTTATTCATGAATTATATTCTCAATGTTTGACCCAAATCTTGTCCAAAACGACTTCATTTTTTAGTATAAAAGGAGTATCTGCCATATTAAAGAAGCAAATTGTAAAACTAAATCTCATAATTGTACCTAATGAAGTTAATTTGGTGTCTTATTTTTTTCTATAAATTTACTCGAACTTATAATAGTTTAACAGAGGGAGTATAATCATTATTATGATGATAAAAATCCTCAATAAATTGAAACCCGTATCTATAGAAAGCTTATTATAATGCTCTACTAATTGAGCCACATCTGCTCCATACAGGATTCTCCCAACTTTTTTCTTTCAAACAAAGTATACATTTCTGGAAGTTTCATTTCTGCAAACTTCATCTTTGAACACCTCTAACTCAGGCAGTGGTAAAACATACCACACAGAAAAGCGTTCCGACGTAACTTGACTATAAACTGTGGACAAACCAGCATATATACCACGCAAAATGAAGTCTGGCAGGTCCCATTTCATGTACCAGTAACTTCATCTCGATTCAGACGACGCACACAGATTACGGCGGCGGCGGAAACCTGAAGTTCTGAAGTCTGAACGTAGTTCAGCTTTGCGCGTGCGGCCGTGCCAGATGGGCATGTCGGAAGTGGAATGGAGGGAGCTGGACGATCCCATTCAGGCCTCTACGCTCCAACATCCCGTGAGCTTGCAGCTTGTCCCGACTCCCGACAGACGCCAATCAACAGGCAAGCCCTTCAATTCAATCCAATACATCATCCATATATTGTTGTGTCATTGTGTGTGTGTGGCGTGTACACTTTGTCCTACAGCAAATATTGATCTGTAAATTGTTTTCTTGCGGCAAATATTTGCTTCAAACAAAATGAGAAAATCAAAGAAAAATAGAAGTCCTCACTCCAAAGAAAATCAGGAGTCGCTCTTGGAGTATCATGCGTATCACAAGAAGCAGAACAATTATATTCATACAAAACAAGCGGGGATATAGCAACCAAAATCGCTTCCAATTTACTAGAGCCAAACCATATTGGGATATTCAATATAGAATCTGAACCACGCCGCACAAATCTGAAACAGGAATCTGAACTCCAAGATAAAAAAAAAATGTGCCAAAAATTGCTCAGCTTGTTCACTTTGCGCCAAATTCTGCACAATAACCAGCACATGCTTTGCATGCCGTCCACCAGCAGTAAGCATAGTCTTCGGCTCTACAAAGACAATCAAACCATTAGTCACTAGGGCTGTTTGGTTGGGAGATTGAAAAGTTGCCTGGGCTAGGCAACCACTCCCAGGCATTGGATTTCATCAGCCTGTGGAGTCGAGATGTCTGCCTGGCTGTTTTCCTGTCTGGGAGGCATCAACCAAACAAGGTGTATTTGATTTGAGGAATTAAACCATTCTAAATAATATGATGCTCATTACAAATGGTTTTTGAGCTGTTAGCTGATGGTTTTTGCAGCTGATACTGATTTGTTGTGAGACAAAAAAACACTGTACCATGGTTGATAAGCCGGGCTGATAAGTTCAATTCCTCGTACTAGTGCAATTATTACTCCCTCTGTCCTTTTCTATAAAATTTCATGCATATTAAGCTTTTCTAAATTTAACTAGATTTATATAAAATATTAGTAAACGTTTGTCTCTCCAAATAAGTATATTATAAAAATATATTCAATGATTAATCTAATTATACTTATTATACACCATAAATATTAATAATTTCTTGTATATATTTGGTCTGTTTGACTCTTCCTCTCACGGCATCAAAGTTGAGTATGTGAGAAAATAATGGACTAACACATTCCTCAAATCAAACACCATAAGGGCGTGACATTTTTTAAAACCGGTACGAGAAGATATGAGAATCAGCCAAATATTCCCAAAATTTACTAGGCATGCAAGGGCCCTCTAGCCTAGAATATAATAAGCACCCATAAGACTAGGAGCGGATTAAAGCGGAGGCAAGCAGATCGTTCTGATGGCACAGGCACACCCTGTTCTCCTAGTCCTTTTGCTCTTCCTCTCCCCCACTGCCGTTTCTTCCTCCAAGAGAATTCAGCCGAAGTTCTCGGCTATCTTCTACTTTGGCGACTCGGTTCTTGACACCGGCAACAACAATCATCTCCCCACGGTGGCTGTAGCGAACCATGTTCCTTACGGAAGAGATTTCCCAGGGAAGAAACCAACAGGGAGGTTCTCCAATGGCCGGCTTATCCCAGACCTCCTCAACGAGAAGCTGCAACTCAAAGAATTCTCGCCGCCGTTCCTGGATACAAGGCTGTCGAACAACGACATGGTGACAGGGGTGAACTTTGCATCAGCTGGTTCAGGATTAGATGACCAGACGTCGCAGCTGTCCAATACTCTACCAATGTCCAAACAGGTGGACCTCTTCAAGGACTACCTCCTCCGGCTCAGGAACATTGTTGGGGACAAGGAGGCTTCCAGGATCATTGCCAGCTCTCTGATTTTTATCAGCTCAGGAACCAACGATTTCTCACATTACTACCGTTCGTCGAAGAAGAGGAAGATGGACATTGGTGACTACCAAGATCTTGTTCTCCGGATGGTACAAGTTCATGTCAAGGTGAAAATAGGCATTTCCTGCTTTTGAGTTGTCTCTACTGAATTCTTCTATTACACTTCAAAAACTGGGCATTACTTTACTTTCAATTCCCTAAATTTGAATGCAGGAATTATATGACCTTGGGGCCGGCAATTCTGTTTGGCAGGCCTTCCGCCGTTTGGTTGCACACCTATCCAAATCACATTGAGCAGAGACCCTGACAGGGCATGTGTGGATGAGCAAAACTGGGATGCTCAGGTCTATAACTCTAAACTTCAAAAGTTACTTACAACGTTGCAAGGTTCACTCCATGGAAGCAGAATTGTGTACTTGGATGCATACAGAGCTCTCATGGAGATCCTGGAGAACCCAGCCAAATACGGTAACGTTTTCTGTTAATGCCATGGCTTATATACACTAGGAGGCTAGAACTGAGATGGAAATTGATCACAGACTTAAAGTTCTGAAACAAAATTCAGAGAGAATGCCTTAAATCCTAGCCAATGCAGTAGTATTGTGCTAGACTTGGCAGCCAAAACCTAGTGGCTGGCAGAAAACCATTTAGTAATTCAATTGCAAAATGCATGATTATTAGTATATTTTAGTTCTTTCTTCATGTCAGCCCAGAGTTTGACTTGCTGTTAACCATATCAATTCTGACAAAGGTTTGCCATGGTAACAGGATTTACAGAGACAACACGGGGATGTTGCGGGACTGGGCTCAGAGAGGTTGCTCTGTTTTGCAATGCATTGACTCCTATCTGCAAAAATGTATCATCCTATGTATTTTACGATGCTGTGCACCCAACAGAGAGGGTTTACATGTTAGTAAATGATTACATAGTCAAATACGTTATTCCACAGTTTTAATTAGTCAAATACCCAAATAAGGTTTTCTCCTTGTATTAAGTCCAGTATAGAAGAGCTTCTCGTATGTCACCTATCATGCTATGCATGATGTATTGATGTGTTATTGGATTACTGAACAGTGGATTTATGAGCACTAGGTAAATAACTGAGTCTCCCCCAGGATGTCAGGTATGCATTTTACAAGTGAGGAATAATATACTGGCTACATCATGCTCATATTAGTCATCACAGATTCACAGACGTTTGATCACATGCAGAGCAAGTTTAGTAGCGAACTAAACTTCCTTACAAATTTTAGTCTTCTAGGCTCATAGTAAATAATACTAATGATGGTAAAATTAGACCAACCTAGGAGGAACTAATTGCTAGCATACTATGATGCTTGCGTAGGAGACCCAGTTGCTACAGGAGTTCATCAGTTCATTTGATCCTAGTTAGTGAAACATGAATCACTGTAACATACGTATGTCAAATTAATAGAGATGACTGAGACCAAACAGGCCCTTAGAAACACAACTTACAGTACAAACCTGAGAAATTAAACAAAAGTCAGAAAGCCGCAGCCAGAAAAGCCACTCTATGACTTGGCCATTGCTTTGAACAACCGCTGAATCCGTGACTTCACGTCCTCAGGTCGCACATATGAAACCCCTACAGCCTCTGTTGCCTTTAACATCTCAGTTGTATCCCTGTACACTGGAATAACCAGCTCCTCAACCATAATGCTCAAATTCACTGCTTGCTGCTTATCCACCAGTACCCACCGTGACTGCACCTGGCAAATCGCTTCCACAAAGTTATGGAAGTGGTTCAGTTTCTCTAACATAATACTCAAACTACTGTCAGATCTTCTGTCAGTCTCAAGTATCGCTATGGCCCTCCCCCAGGTAGCCCGGCGGTATTCCAACACCCATTGCTGAACCTTTGCAGATATTACCCTGATCCAATGCTCACCCAGCAAGATCTTAAGCTCGCAACCATTGACTTGATTATATAGATCCCATTGTTGATCAGGAAGACACAGCCAAGAGGAGCATGACCATAAATCCTGGATTTGGACTCAAGATTCCCTATCAGCACATCCACAATCCAAGCAAAGCGGATTGCCAGTGATGATGTGGACGGTCAGGGTCAACTGGACATGTTTCAACACAACCAAACTCAACAAGCATCACTCTTCCAGAGTATGGCGAGACACGCAAGCTGTCATAAGATAGTTTATCACATACCTTGTTATCGGATGCAATCCACCATCTCGTGGTGAAGACTCGCATGGATCACAGCGTATCAGTTTTCTAGAGCCACAAATATGCCCTTAATTGACAATCCAAGGCATTCACGAAGAGCAGCTACCTCATGATCAAAGGCTTCATCAAGGACAGGAAGAATATCAGTTAAAGCATCATACATGTCAACTATGCGGAAGAGACACTCCAGGTTATGTCCAGCAGCAGCAATAACTTTGGCAAAGGACAGGAGTTGAAGAAATGGTTTGCATGCAGCAGCAAAGGCAAGGTTAGTGTAGGATGTAAATTCTTCAAAAATGCAATTGCATAGGTGACGCTCACTTGGGATTAAGATGTGGAACACAACACGTATTGCAGGTATCCAGCGCATGATCTGAGTCTCAAGCTCCTCCCATGATGTTGACTTGCACAATTCTTCGAAATGAGCATTAACCCCAAGTCGAGCAATACTCTCATCAATGAAGTTGCGGCGTGCAGAAGCATAGGTCTCCGCGCATGTATCACCAAAACCAGCAGCGATCATCCTTCTTGCGATTCGATTTGCCTCAGTGACTACACCCTCTGGTAAGGCATCAACAATGATGTCAAAGTTTCTAACTGGTTGGACTACAAAGGTGTGGTTGTCATCTTCATTTTGGCTTCTCTTGAAATTGTGGTCACCATGGTCATCACTGAAGCCAGATGTACCCACCAGTTGCTGGAACTCAACCTTAAGCCTCGTGGAACATCGCTCTAGAAGGAGATCAAAGTTCTCAAGGAGCACATGATCCGCTGAGGTGTTCTCAAGGCCATGGATGGTGGAAGTTAGTTCATCCACAGCTTCTAAAAAGGCGTCAGCATCATCAGAACTGGACCAGAGAGACCGATCCAAGCTCAGGAACTGGGAAATCAGATCATTGAGTGCTTGCAGAGTTTCCTCCATGCCAATCACTAATGCTACAAAGCAAACACCCTTAAGTCTATGCGGATCTGTAACTTCAAATTTGTGAGCCTCCTAAGCCTTCAGGGCAAATCATAGAAGAGGATGGTGCAACACAGTTCAATCATCTCCAGTCTCTAGCTGGCAAAATGGACCAGTTCAAACATTTCATATTCATATTCATATTCATATCATAAAAGAACTAAGAGTGTGAAACGTACCTCACAGAGCGAATCTGAAATTAAGGATGCAAAACTTTATCTTCCTAGTAGCACCTAGATGCATCCAACTTGACCTCCATACAGATGAGTTACTGATGTTCCAAATGATGCAAAATCACAACAGACCACCATTTATGTACGAGCCTACGAGGTGCAATGGGCGGTGGATGCGGACAAAACCATATGCTGTTGGTGGCTGTTGGGGGTCACAATGAGCTTACCTCAGGAATAGCAACATCCAACCACACAGCCACCAGGCATCACTTCGTGGCAATTGTACTCTTTTGACTTTTCTTTCAACCAATACATCAAGTAGTTGAAATCTAAAAGGCAAGCTTTGAGAAACAACACAAAGGTTTGCGTGGAAAAATACTTCCTCCGATCGTAAACACAAGTCCATCTGGGTTTGTCCTGATTTTTTTTTTTTAACTGGGGAAACAGCAGGGGAGGCCCCACTGTAAAATTTGTATTGAAAAAGGAAAGAAAGCTGTACAAGAGACTTAAAACTGTACAAACAAAACAGCAAAGTCTAGCTAGCCTGAGGAGGGCACTGGAGCTAGGCAAGAGAGTCTACAATCTACAAGAAGTAAAAAGGTGAGTTTCTTTGCAGCACACAGTCGATGAGCTTGGAGTCTGGCTTCTCTGAAATTGAGCTTCCAGGAGGTAAAGGATGGACAGGAGGGCCCCACTGCCTAAATATTTTTTTTTAAACTTTCATTATTATCAATATCCCAAAATTCATATAGATTGACAATGCAAGTTTAATGCTACTAGATTCCTAATAAAGAATACTTTTATAATATATCAATTTATATTTAAGATAATGGCCCCGTTCGCGTGCCCTTAAACCCAGCTTGATCTGCTTCTTTTTTTATCCGGAACAGTGTTTTTCTCTCACAAATTCCTCCAGCATTCCTCCAAACCATCCAAATTCCTCTAGAATTCCTCCAAGCGAACAGGCCCAATACTTTTTTACACATATTGTTAGTCAAAGTGCAATATTGAGACTGTCGCTGTCCTAATGGACTTATATTTGTGATCCGAGGAAGTCATAGGACCTAATTAGTAATTACTAAATTCAAGGATGTGCTATGTCTCACGGGCGCATTGTCAAAATCCAAGACCAATTCATCCATAGTTAGAAACTTAGAATAACCAAATAAAATAGTGCACAACACAAATATATTCAGAAATAGTGTGCATTCTACTCGTCTTTCAGTTATGTCAACTGTCAACTATCCTTGAACTCTTGGATTTTGCAGGTATGTACTTGCACACATGTAATTCTATATAATGCTTGATGTATTCAAGTAACCTTTCTTAATCTTCTTCCATATTCCTTCTCAAAAGTGAATTTTAATAGTTTACCTAATGGAATCCCTTATTGTGGTTCAATCTATAACACATAACAACTTTCTCTTACAACCTTATTATGTGAATCCATTCACAAATGGTAAATGAAATTGAAGATTTAAGAATCATGATTGGACCAGTTGGGGCAAAAAGGCAGGAGAGAATAGATTAGATTAACTAGCAATTGTTCCTAGAATAGGGCCTATCACTGATACCACTGGCCATTGTAAAAGCTGTGGAAGTGGTATTGAAACAGTCTTCTGCCTTTATAATTTGTTCACATATGTGAAGTTACTAAATATGAAATACTAAGATAACTAATTTAAGTAAAAAGTACACACAGCACACCTAATTACTCATAGCTAAAGGAGAAATCAAGCCAATAATAAGAAACAAACAATACAACACATTAGGTTAAAATTACCAGTTGATACTTGGTACAGAAACACCTACAACTACAAATTTACATAGCTGGAGACGATAGCATTTCCTCATCTAAGACAAAGTCCAGCCTTTTTTGCAACACATCATTGAGCCCAGAATGTCACCATAACTAAGGTTGTGATATCCGTTAAAATAGCTATAGCAGTAAAATCAGATAATTAACTAATCACTTGGCCACTCCTTCAAATAGATGTTGGATGCGTGCCTGAACATCCTCTGGGGTGTATTTGATGAACAAGTCTCGGGCAGCTTCAGGAGATGATCTCAATCTCCCAATTAAACCTCTATATGCAGACATAACAGAATCCGCTATCGCTGACTTAACATCTGCTCGTAACTGCTCATCTGCAATCACCCAATCGGACTGCACCGTGCAAATCTCCTCCAAGTAGTTGTTAAACATCTGCATTTTCTGAAGCATGGACTTTGTAGTGATACTGCCAACGCCAGGACCTCCAGTCTGCAGCACTGATATGACCTTTGCCCAGGCCCCACGCTGGTACTCCATACTCCACCTGCGCACCCTGCTCATCATCTGCTTCATCCATTCATCACCAAGCAAAACCCCAAGCTCACTGTCATTCACCTTGTGAATAATGTATTTCCCGTTATTCATCAAGAATATGGAAGCAAGTGGTGGATCCCTGTATATCTTCGATTTGGTCTCCAAATTCTTGTGAAGCACATCCATGATCCAAGCTATGTGCACAGCTAGTGACGAAGTAGGGCGATCAGGGTCAACAGCAATAGCCGCTGTGCCAACAGCACCCAAGTCACCTTCCATCACCTCTTCCAGTGTTTGCCGCGAACCACATGCCGCACGGAGATAGTTCATGACATACCGAGTGATTGGATGTATGCCACCACCAGGCACAGCAACACGGGCTGGGTCACGGCGGATGAGATTTTCCAGCTCCATGAATATACCTTTGATTGAGGAGCCAAGAGTGTAGCACACAGCTGATACCTCAGCACGTAGAGCCGCAGAGTAGGGATCAGAGAAGACAGGATCGAGGTCAGGAAGGAGGTCTCGGACTGCTTCATACATGTCAATAACACGGAAGAGCCGTTCTGGCGCGCGGCTGGCAGCAGCAACTGCATCTCCGAATGAGATAAGCTGAAGCGCCTGGGTGCGCACGGCGGCAACAAAGGCAAGGTCGCCGTACGGAGCGAGGCCTTCGAAGACACGATCACAGAGGCGGCGCTCGCTGGGGATTAGGATCCGAAACACCATCTTGAAGGCTGGGATCCAGCGAGCAATGTCGAACTCGAGCTCCTCCCATGGCAAGGAGTGGACCTCGTCGGCTGTACGGGAACGGATGCCGAGGCGAGCGACGCTCTCGTCGATGAAACCGCGGCGTGCGGCCGCGTATGCCTCGGCGCACTCGCGGCCAAAGCCAGCGTCCACCATCCGCCGGGCAATCTGGTGAACATCAGAGACCGAGCCCGGCGGGAGAGCATCGATGACGATGTCGAAGTTCGAGACCGGCCTCGCGATTGGGATTGGCTCGTCGCCAAAGCCGTCATCCGCGTCGTAGTCCTCCTCCTCGCTCTCATCAGACCCGAAACCACCGGGCACCTGAGGCGCCGCGTCGTCGGGGCGCTCGATGAGCGCTCGGAACTCGTCCTCCAGCCGGGCCATGCACCGGCTCAGCAGCTCGTCGGCGCGGTCGAGCAGTCCGCGGTTGGTCCCGGCGGCGTCCAGCTCCTGCACGGTGCCGACGAGGTCGTCCACCGCCTCCAGGAACGCGTCCGCGTCCGCTGAGTCCGCCCAAATGAGCCTGTCCATGGTGACGAACTGCGAGATCTGCCGGTCCAGCGTGCGCACGGTCCGCTCCAGCGACGTCACCGGGGGCATGGCCGCGGCGGCCGACGGCGCCACTGGAGGCGGCGGCATGGGCGGCGAGGCCAGCACGGAGCGCTCCCCAGCAGCCCCTCCGACCGCGGCCGCCGCCGCAGCGGCGCGCGTGGCGTAGAGCTTGTCGAGCGAGAGGCGGCCGTCGTAGTTGGAGAAGACCTTGAGTATATCCTCCGTCATGGTGTCGGTGCGGCCAAGAGTCTGGACGATGTGCTGCACCGTGGCGAGCAGCTTCACCTCGCCGTCCTCCGCCATCAGCCGCCGGGCGAGGTCGCCGGACGCCTCTCCCCTCCCGTCGATCAGCGCGAGGTTCCGGCTAGGGTTTGAATCTGCGGCGGAGAGGGCCGGGGGGCGATGGTGGTGCCGTGGTGGTTTATCGGGCAGTGACAAGGATGGCCGCTCACTGCTCTCGAACCGGAGTGGAGGCGCCGTTGGAGTAAATTGTCACGCCGACGCCGGTTACAGAATTTACCGTACCCCATGCCTGGGCGGTAACTCGCGGCGTGCGGTGGATGCTAGGCTGGACTTGTAGCTTGGACGGTCGGATGAAGTCGGTGACGGAAGTATAAACGGGAACGGACAGTAAAACTGCGTTAACCTCGGGAGAGGAGAAAGCCGGGACCGGTGGCGGCGGATCGGTGGGTGGGGAAAGCATAATAAATGCAAGCGCAAGCGCAACGGCGCTCTCGGAGCAGAGATATTTAAGGGCCTGTTCGGTTACTGGAAACCGTGACCATGATGTAATCCGGCCAGGATCGGGTGTTTAATTTGTGTTCCTGACTCTTTTTTCCGGCCTCACGAACGGGCCCTAAACGTTCGCTGACAGGTAGGGTTACAGCATGGGGTTTATGGTTTTGGCGTCACGTTGGTGGCAAAGACGGAGGACAGGACGAGGATGCCCGTGATTGACGCGAAAGCGAGATGCGGACCACAGTACCACACCAGGCTCGGCTTCTTTGGGCCGGTTGCTAGTTTGTTACCAGGCCGAGGGTTGTACCATCTCCCAGCTCAATGGCAAGGCTACCAATTAAGGCCTACAGCCCAATGTGGCCCAGTACAAAGTTAGGTCTAGGCCCACGGATTATTTCTGCAGATCTGAACGACGCACCCGAAGGAGTTATCGTGCG